TGCACTATTCTTATCCATATTTCTGCAAAAATAAAAAAATTCCCCTAGAAGGCAAACTCAGTAATTCATACAGTCAAGTCTCAATATGACAATACTGCAATTCCAGCTTGAAAACCAGCTCACCTACTGCGTTCCTTGCACTTGTACCTGCTCTACAACCTGCACACAATCACCCTTGCAGATGGGGTCAAGCTCTGCTATCAGTGTTCCTTTGCACTGCATTCCTGAGTTGTACTTCTACCTGGTGTTTAGGCTGGTATCATGCTATACTTACATTTGTAATGATTCAGAGCTATTTTAAGAATACAACTTTAATTCAGGCGCCAAGCAAAATAGGTTTGTATCTTATTTCATATTAGAGGACAAACTGCTTGCTATTCCAGGGTGTCTCATGGTCATTAATGACCCATGCCTCAAAGTACACTGTAGGTGCCAATAGCCATACCTTGATCCCTTCAAATGGCTCTGTCCCCAGAAGCAATGTTAACAATCTTATTGCCTTGATACTAATTTTCCAGGAATGAATATGGAGCATGATAGGGCTCTAAGCAGCAGTAGATCTCACAGATTTTATTACAGACTTTTTTCTACCAGTCTTCCTTTGAACTGCTAAGGTATTACCAGTTTCATTTTTCCTGTTGCTCCCTGTAGCCCCTACCTTACAGTAGGTTTGCAACACAGGTTTAATTTTGTCTCACTTATTTACCTGAACTAATTAAATTTTAAGATTAAAAAATAGTTAATGTAAAAACCTGAAGAGAAACAGAATTGTCCCTTTAGAGATCACAAAGTCTGAGAGAAGGCAGCTTTTATCTTGATAGTGACAAGACCATCACTACAACAGAGGAATGAGACAGACAGTAAATGAGTGGACAGGGACATGAGTAGAGACCCTGCAATCCTGTTGCCTGGTGGCACACACCAACACAAGTTTCCTAAAAAACTATTTAAAAAGTGAAATCTTTGTCTACATCAAATACTTCATGTGAACTATAATTAAGCCAGGATTTTGTCTAGCAGGACTAAACTGGCCTTAGATCTGTTACCAAAGAGAAGTGCATGCACCTATTTATGTGCAGGAGAGAACAGCCACATCTGAACCTGTTGAAGTCACAAGAACAGGGGGACTATAAAAACAAGCTGTAATAACTGAGGTTTTGAGAGACCAGCACAGCTGAGCCCCTGCAGATGCTGGAGGTGGGGCCACTCGCTACGATTATATCAGTATCGTGCCACTGGAGATTATGCCATTATATTTTCAAGAAACAGCCTAAATGGAAAAGGGAACCTGAGAAAGCACTTGAGGCAAGCTGCCCAAGGCTGGCTGCTTCTGGGCAACAGGAAAACGTCTGCCTCTGAAACAGCTTAAATAGGAAGTTTAGATCTTAAATTTACTCTGATCTGTCTCCTGAATAGCACCAAGGCTTAGCAACTTTATTAATAGCAGCAAGCTGGAAGAAACATTCAGCCAATGATTGTAGCAATGGCTGCAGCTTCTTTTAAAAAAAAGCCTTTTTCTCTTGTCGATTTGGTTTCGCTGTTGGGGTTTTTTTGTGGTGGTGGTTTTTTTAATTTAAGGTACACAAAGAAAAGGAGACAGAGATCAGAAAAGGCAAGGTTGCAGGGAGGAATCATTATCAAATAGAACAGGAGACAGAAAAAGAAATATGAAACCAAGAAACAGAGAAAAATGTGCTAAAGTTCAAAAGGATGAAGTGATACATAGTTCTGCCAGCTGCAGTGAAGATAAGGGGAGCTGAGGAGAAAGACACTTCATTAACAGAAAACACTCATTAAGCATACCAAGTGGAAAAGTTTCCATGTTATGGGTAGTTCAGAACAGATTGGAAATTGTGAAAACAGATACCCTGATTGTTCTGAGGTCTCCCGAAGATTAATGGGTCCTCTGTCCTTCTGTCTGAGGCCTGCCTGCCGAAATGTCTTGTGACAAAAGGTCACGTAGTCCATGTGCTCCCTTTAGGAAATTGCACTAATGAGTGTAGAACCTGCTTTCATATGTAAATGTTCAGCGGTTTACTGCTGAATTGTTTTTGCTTGCCACTGCAACATATTTAAGAATTGAACTTTTGAAAAATTAAAACAATGAAATAATTACTGTAAATAATCACATCTGCTACCAACATGAATAAGCTTCCATATCTAGAACAGCAGAGAAAGTAGTTTGATGTACATTCTGCTTTTCAAAGGCTTGAATTTGACTTCTATTTGCTTAACTTCATTCACCTACAGAATTCAAACACGCTTCTTGAGTTCCCCCAGCTCCTCCCCTCCAGTTACAGAGGATGTCCACCAGCAGGTGTGTCCCCTATTTGTACCCAATTCAGAGACAAACAAGTAGATGGAGAGACTTTGCTCCCAAGAACACAACTTCAGCTTTCTCCGTAACGAATCTCTCTGGTCCAGCTCTCCTTTAATGCTGTGTATTTCAAAAAAGCAGTAAAACACCCCTTTCTTCCACATACTTAAGTATTTGGCAAGCACTGTTTAAATACCTTCCAAGTGACATTTATCATTCCATATCATCATGACTGCAGATGAAAAACACAGAGGAAAATGCTCAGTGAAGACCTTTACTTTCTTTTGATCCAAGTTTACTCCTAGTAGCTCATCCGAATCTTTCAAGCAGTTTTTTTTCTAACCAGCCCTGCACAGTGAGTCATGTATGTGGTCATCCCTGGTAGCCATGCACAGCTCCTGTGTATCTGAGCCATGCTGGTTCACAGCTCTGCAAACTGAGTCACCTTCTTTTCCTTTGTCTAACTGAAAAGAAGCCACATGTTGTATGAGAAGATAAACTGCAAACCGCTCAATGGGATGTGCACCTACAGAATCCAGCAAAGGTACACAGCAGCCAAACGCTGTTTGTGTGCCTGCTCCAGTACCTGCACTTCTGCAGAAAGAGAGACACCAACAATGTCACAAGGTCACTAAAAATCACTGTGTCTGTTCAGCGTGGAGTGGGGACAGAGAGCAGCACACAGCAGGTAAAACTTTCAACAGTGAATCCTAAAGGTGCATTTTGGTAACGCTTCCCTGAATGAAGAATGCCATCAACAAGCATTATATATGGCTTTCCTTCTCATTTTCAGTCAAATCTTCCACCGAGTCAACTACAACAGAAAAGCTCTGTGACACTTCACTCTTCTTCTTCAAACAGTATTTCTTATATAGTAAAGCCATTGTTTCAAGTTAAATTTGCAATCATAAAAAGGCAAATGGAAAACAAGTACAACCATTTTTGCATAAGATTTCAATGAGATTTTACACGTACATTGAAATGGAATGTCTAGAGAAATTTCCCAATCTGTTCCTGCATGCCCTCCTGCAGTTAGAGGTGATCCCCAGAGACTGTCTCAAGGTTTTTTTCCTTGCACAGCTGCTAATTCTGTGAGAACTGTGTTTTAGTGGTAGTAAAATACATGCACAGATACAGTAACACACGCCAAGCTTGTCAGGGATGAAGCATTTTAGTGAGAAAAGACTGGAAGAACAAGGAACACAGCAGTGGGAACTCAGTGTTTTCCTTGCTATGGAAATGCAACAAGTGCTTGGTTCTTGCATCAATCACAGCAAATCCGTGTAACTTTGCTACTGTGGAGATGAGCCTTATCAGTCAGGTATGAAAGGACAGGTAAGAAAAACCTGTGAGTTTGTTACTGAAATCCTTATATACATATATATATATATATATATATATCCTTCTATATAAGGGTCATGGGGCTTCCAGACCGAAACAGGAGCAGGGAAGCAAACAAGCTTTTCAAAATTGCCTTCCTTCTGTGACTGGGGACTTTGCCAAACATGCAAGCTCACAAATCCCAGCTACTTGCCAGGGCTCGGTGATCCACGTGGCTTCAGCTGCCTGGTGGCTTCACACCTCAGAGTACCAAACACATCAAGACACAGAAAGTTGCTTTTATTTGCTTCCAGGCTGCTCCCTCTTGCTAAGGTGCTCAAAATCTGCATGTTATTTGGCACATCACAAATAGCAGCACAAAAGCAGAGTTAACAGTCAGCAACTGGAAACGTGCAAAGCCTAAGATGTACTGTGCAGGTGGCACTAAAACCTACAATGAAATGCACACATTTGCTTTGTTAGTATCTAGACAGCCTAGAAAAAAGGAAAATGTAAATATGAATCTATAGTAAAGTCACCAGTCTCTGAGTTGGCATGTGAAAACCATAAATCAGATTCACTAGCACCTCTGCCTGTTGTGTTTTTAACAAAAGCAGACTATGCCTGAGTAACAGTCTATTATGCTCAAAACAGATGTGCAAAACTCCAGGATATCAGAACCAGGCTAACAATATCAATTTCAATGACTACTGTACCATTACCACTTCATTTCTAGAGAGGCCTCCAACACGTTTAGGCAAATCTTGACACTGCCTTTCATTATGTGTATCTCAAAAGACAAATTGATACTGTAAGCCTTAGTCTCCCAGTCTGTTTCAAGAACAAAATTCTGAAACAGAACAAAAAGTCTCCCAGTCTGTTTCAAGAACAAAATTCTGAAACAGAACAAAACATCCAGCATGTACAATTCTAGGTATCTTCATAAATTGAAAGACTAAGAGTCTGACAACAGAGTCATTCACACCAGTTCTTCTGTACACATCTGAATCACTGCCTTTAGTATCTTAAAACAAACTTTGCAATTTTGATATTTTCTCCCTAAAAAGGCTCTCACAGAGTTGTCACAAAGAAGTGCAGCCTTTTATCTTCTGTTTATAACCTTCCTTAGAGCCAGACATTTATCAGAGTTGTGAGCAACGACGATTAAAGAGGTGCATAGGCTATGTGAAAAAAAAAAACAACAAATTCAGAAGCCCATCCCAGTGCCTTCCCCCTGCAGAGCCTTCTACAAAATTAGCGAGGAATGCTACCTTCTGCTTCACACAGTGGTAAATAACCAGATAGACAGCAAAAGACTAGGCCTGAGATGTACAGAAAAGATGGACACCATTTACAATCTTACCTTCTGCACGTTGGGTTTGATGCACCGAACAAAGAAGGGGTTTGAAGAACTCAGGGTTGCCATTAAAGAATGAAGTGATTCCTGAAACACAGGTAGAGAGAAGACAGTAATTCACAAGCTGGATTTCTGTACAAGCAACATAACCCTGGACAAGAGCTCCTGCAGCTCAGCACTGCAGACAGCATCTAACTGCAACACCTAGTGGTGCACACCAGAAGTTACGGCACCATGGAAGCTCTTGCTTCCAAACAGACGGGATCCACACCTGTGTGTTCACTTCTGCCACTGGCTCTTCTCATCACAACTGGCATCACTGTTTCACCATGAGCAAGATTCACAGATTGATATGAAAACTGTTCATAAGGGAACATCAAACTGTTGTTTCAGGGATCTTTCAAACGACTGCTTAAGACTTAGGATCCACATTCCCAAACAGCTAAACTTGAGCAAGTCAAAAGGAAGGATAATGGGTCTACGGCAAAATCCACCAACTCAGATTTCCTCTTTTCATTTCACCTACCCCAAACCCATTCATTTTCCATCTTCCCTGAAGAAAACAGTTTTTTTTCTAGCTTTAGAACTCTGAATGATCCAATGCACATTAGACTATCAGTTGTCTGAACCTCAGCCTGGAGATAAAAATCACAAAATCCCTCAGTCCTTTTATGATTATTACTTTAATTACACATCCACCCCTTTCCCGTCTGAGCCATCATTCCATATCTTATTCCAACTTGCCTCATTCTGTATCATTAAGTGTGATGAACCTTTTTAAACTGAAGTCTTGCATTTACTTTGCAGAGATACAAATGATTGGAGAGGAGCTCAAGCTGTGAAGGGCTCACAAAGCTAGCAAAGGCAAAGTTACACCTCTCAAAGGTGACACTTTGTGCCAGGCAGCAGGGAGAATACAGAGCAGGCTGCCAAGGAGGCAGAAAGTGCACATTTTAAAGGACTAGCACTGTGTGTCCTGCCATATGTCTTGGAGCAAAACTGTCAAGGTCAGTCTGTTATAACAAATTCTTGTTTTAATCTGCAGACCAAGCACTTACTTGGTGATTGAACACGCAGTGATAAAGGCAGCAGGCAGAGTTATGGCTGTGTACAGGAGCTGGTACAGGGCAAAGGGAGCAAACAGCGAAATGACTGGGAACATAAATGAAAGTTCTTGGTTCGCTTGCCTTTGCCAGCCTATGGACCAGGGAGTTGGGCAGCAAACACCAAACAGAACATACAAAGACAAAAATCCTTCTGTAAAGACAAATATTTACAGCTTTGAAAAGTAAAGGCTTTATCCATATTAAACCTGTATGAATATTCCATCTATGGACAATTCTTCATCCCAGGCTCCTACTTACAGAGATTGGGAAATTTGGTCAGTCTAAATAAAAATGATTTAAACTATTTTTACTTTCACCTGTGGTACAGCCAGCCAGATTCTGCACAGCGTTGCAAGCCTCTAAGTCACTGTCAGGTGATGAGCTAATCTGGAGTTTGCCCTGCTGTAATCAACAGGCTGAAACAGATGGTATCTAAACCCTGCTATTCTGTGTGCACCCCCAGGCCTGCATTAGGCAGGTCATCAAATGAAAAGAAGAGTCAACTAATTTATCATGAGAATAAAACTGTGAAGGCAAAGTTCTTATCTTCAGTTGAAATAAGATGGACTAATCCCTGGAAGGCTTTAAAACATGTAAAAACACCCAACTTAATTCTCTGAGGATGGCATGATGTAAAAAAGGCATGATCTTGTAAAGCAGCCCAGCTGGTTAATGGTCAGTTACTGCAGTGTTAGATAAGAGGCAATAATGTTTTGATTTCATGTTTTATCACCCTTACGTTTTCCAGGGCTCCTGACAGAGAACAGGACTACTACACTTTGTTCAACCTTACCAAATGAGTGAAAAAATATGGTCTGTTTTTGTAAGGTTAACATCTTAGAGGTCCACTTTGCACATATACAAATGACTAAGTGGAAACAGTACCTTCTGCTACCCCAGAGAACCAGCAAATAATAGCATCTCATGACAAGAAATGGATACTTCTGAGATGACTTATGGTAGCACAAAGCAGTGTTTTTTAACAAAAGACATTGTGTGTGCCCCAGTATGCACTCCTTGCTGTTCTGTCCAACACTTAGCAATAGTCTATTAGGATAAAATCTGCCCTTAAGGGGTTCGAGTCTGCTCTTTTTTTAAAAAAGTGAATGAACTCTGCAAATGTATATTAATTCAAACAAAATGAAAGGCAACTAATCCAGACTTGTACTCATGTAATTTAGGAGATGTTTCGTGCCAATCTTTCCCTTTTAAATAATTTGCAGATAGACTTTATGCTAGATTTCAATTTGGTGCCATTTTTGATGAGAGGCTATGAAGCCTCATAAAAAGGTGTTTAACAAAAATGCCTTCCAAACTTTAAGTTAAAGCAAGGCAACACCTTAATGAGGTATTTATTCAGCACTTATTTTTCTTTGCATACAGGCACTGCTGTAAGGCTTTGTGGGATTTTGTGGCTGGATTTAGATTATAAAGACAAACCAGGACAAGAGAGACCAACTTCATAGATGAGCTTTAAAAACAGAACAAATAGGCAAGTGAGAAATACAACAGGAGTTTTATGGGGATGGTGTGATGGAAAGGTTAGTGTCTCCTTAAAGCTAGCCAGGACAGTCAATAGGTTAATTAGCAAGGGCAGTATCACAGTAGAGACAGCAACATTTTAATGCTCAAGTTTTGGCTTTTTCAATCTGCACCTGTTCTTTACTGAGCAGGGTCTGTCCATCACTGATTAGCTACACAGCAGAGATGACACATTAACTAACCTTGAACTGGAGACTCACAGTGGGTTTTCGGTGCTTGCTTCCACATTTAAGAGTGTCCTGATTGTTGCGACTTGAAACGTGTTCAAATAGATCATAGATGAAATCAAGACTGAAATGGAAAAGGAAAATAGTATTTTTAAAGTCTATCCTAACAGACTATGAAGTTCACCACTGTAGAATGCAAAGAAAACATTGCCTCTTAGCAAGAAGCTCCTCCATCAAAAAAATACGTATTGGTTTTCTCCACAATCTTCAATAAACTATAGATTTTGCCTTTGCAGAATTTATCCAGGGGAGAAAAAACAAAACAAAAAACAAAATAAGGGGGTTCTTTCTTCTCCACTCCGAACACATCATTAGGGAAATGAAGTGTGAAGTCCTAGAGGCTTTACTGCATTTTACTCCACTCACTCAACCAAAACTCCAGCTGACTGCAACCGGAATTGTACCTGAACAAAGAGTAAAAAACAAGAGTTCCAGCTTGGTTCGGGACATAACACAAAACAGCCACCCATGCAAGCCTCACTTTCAGATAACAGCTGTGCATGCTGTTTCCTACCCTGTCGGCTGGGAACTCTCCTCTTAGCATTTCTACGGAAACAAAGACATTTTAATTCAAGTTCCACAGAGATGTTGGTGCAAAAGCAAAACTAGGCCCAGCCAAGTTTAACTCATTTATTTTTTTTACCTAGATACTTCAATTGACAGATGTTGTATCAGAAATGTCCTAGATCTAGAACAAATAACATAGAGAGGGAATTGCTTGTTTATTTACAAGTTTCCCCTGCACAGAAGGACTAAAGGGATTTACAAATAAGCAACTTGCACAGCAAAGGCAGGATGATTGGATGGGATAGGGGAGGGCAGCAGATGAGACAGCAACATCCAGGCTCAGGTTCCTGTTTTTCTGCCATTCTTCTGTGTGTCCTGTGTGTCCTGTAGTCTTAACCAAACCCCTACAAAAAGGGATGTGGTATCACCACAGCTCACAGGGTACCACTGTAAGGACCCTAAGACCTTACACAGTGGAATGACATGAGACATGCAGGTACCAAAGCCATCCAAGTTCAGACTTTCAGTCAGATAAATCTTAATACAAGCACCCTCCTTGAAGGAACTACTATATGGCAGTTTGCACTGTGGTAGTCTCTTGACAGCAACTGCTCAACCAATTAGGGAATGTCAGAAACACAAACATGAAGTCAAAAACCACCCATGCACCCTGCCTATGAAGCACCCAGAAACAGTTAAAAACCACGACCACCTCCAGCATCATTACTCATTACAGAGCAGCAAGTCAGCTCTCTAGGAACCCCCTGGACTGAACAGCAACAACAGAACAATGCAGATAAATCCAACTTCACGAGAAAAGATTACAGTCAGACCTGATACAGGCAACGCTGATACGCTCATTTCTGTGATATGATATGCTCATCTCTCTTTCATTCTATGCTCATTTCAGGTCTGTCAAGGTCTGCTGCTATGCAACATCTAACGTACTCAAACCCCAGCAGAATTAGATGTTCAATCCTGGCAGAATTAGTTGATACAACACCCCTTAATATCATGTACTTAACAAAAATCACAGAAACTTACCTGCTTTCACGTAACAAGTTCAGGAGATCATCCCTAAAAGTATCTCTGTTCTTCTCCAAGATCCCCCTGACATCATACTGGACCTAGAAGGAAACAGAGCCCGTTCAAACAACAAGCCAAACAGTCAGGCACCTCTCACAAGAGTGGTGCTGTAAAAAGTGCTGAGGGAACAGAGTGCTTTAGTTAATTTTGAGCAGCCTTGGGGGAAAACTGAGCTAATGAAAGTTCTGCTTGGAATAATTTCAGCAAATAAAGAAATTACCTCCCCAGCGTAGTGCTTCACTCCAAAGTTGTGAACAGCAACCCTTGGTTTTACATAAAAAGGATTGTTCTAATTGGAGGGAAAAAAAAGAGAAAAATATTTGGAGGGGGTTGTCACATTATCCTCTCAACCCATATTTAAACAGACCATTGTCTTCCAGTGAACTCCCTGGAAGATTAGTGCTCCAAAAGCAAACAAGCAACTCATGATAATAGGATTTGTTAGTCTGGGCTGCTTCAAATGCAGTAATAACAGATTTATAGCACATAAAAAGGCATTGTACTAAACCTGAACCCCATCTGGCAGAACCATCTATAAAAGGCACATTGAAAGAGAAGGCTCTGTGTTAAACTGGCAGTTCTGAAGACTGATGGATATGCTTTCATCCCAGAAACTGTGAAAAATAATTTCAAAGTATCACAAATAAAGGTAACACTAATCTGGACAGAGGAAACAACAAACTTTCAGTAAATGACATCAAGGTGAATGCTTCATTACAGCAAGGCAAATAGAAGATCTAAATAATCTGAGCTACTGCAGGTTGGCAGAGCTCTCATTAAGAGTAGAATTTGACTTGTTCACCACAATAGAAACCTTTATGTGAACAGCAACGAGGATCTGTTCTTCCAGTAACCAACCTAGCCTTGACAGCAAAGTATACGGATTGCCATGGAAGTAGTGGCATCCAAAAAAGCCTCTAGAACTATGCACCCATATGTTTGAACCATGAATTTCTACTGAAGCAAAGAGATCCTACATAATTTGCACAGCAAATATCAGCGAAACATCACATACAGCATGCTGGGCATTCAACTTCTCCAGTAAGGTGGAGTCTGTAGCTTGAGGAAAATGGCTCTCCTCATTGATGAGTGCCAGTAGTCCCAGTTTCTAGAACAGCAAGAAGAGGCAGAAGATGAATTAGTGCATGGATGGACACAGCTGCTGTCCCCAGTTTGAAAAAATCACAAAGTCCTTGAAGTTGCTCTGTGCAGACAGGCACAAAACTACTCATACACAACTAAAACCCCACTCTTGAAGGTGAGTGAAATCCTGTTTTTCTGGCAATGCTCCTTCTGAAATATGGAGTATATGATCTGTGGGCAAAATAAAGAAAAACAAGCTACTGGAAGAATCAGTTCTCCTGATGTAGGCAGTTTTTAGATGCATACAATGACACTGCCCCAGAATGTCATTGATCAAGATCTCCAATGATCAGGAATCTGGGGAGTTTGTGTAAAACAGCCTTTCAAAAAAGTTTCTTCCATATAATTATCCATCCAGTTCTTGAACCAATGCAAACTTTTAGCACCCACAGTGCCCAGGGGCAGAGCAGAAGATAGGCAGTTTAACTTCACCCTGTGTGAAGCACAACCCCCCTTTGCTTTACATATGCTTCTGTGTAATTTCCTTTGATGTTCCCTACTTCTCCTGCTAGAAGAGGTGGTAAACAAAGCAAGCTACCCCACAGTTAATTAATGTGTCCAGGTTGATACAGCCTCTCAAAAAAACACGGTTCTCCAGGTGCACATTGTAATAAGCCACTTGCCAAGGGCTCAGAGCAGCTCCTGAAAAGCCACACTGCCCTGACTGCAGTCACGTCCTGCCAGCTGGATCCCCTGCCCGCTGCCACTCGCTTCTGTGCTCGTCTGAGCTCTTGCAGTCACACACCCTGCATGGAGATAAGCTCACACAGCCTGCCTGTACTGATGGCAAGAGTCAGCATGGATCAAATGATTCTTTTTAATCATCTCCAAATACTGCTTTTGTATATAATCACACAAGGAGAAAAGTTGCTGCAAGGAAAAGAGCTCACAGTATAATCCTTAACGTAGCCATACATGAAAATTATCTGATCATAAGGTTGCTATTTAAACATGCAAGATCCACCATTCTCTTCACTTGTTCTTTGTGTTGACAAATGTTTTAAAGACCTATTACCTCAGAACAAAACAACTAAAAATAGATAACGGTATCAAATTCTTTCTTACCTTTTCAATAAGATCCAAGCATTCTCCATTGTCTGTCCAGTCAATATCCTCCCAAATTAGTCCTTCCCTAAGGAAAATAAAGTGGGTCTTTTTATTGAAATTATTTTAGTTGTAGAAATGGGAGAAGCTGGTGTATTTATCTTGCAAATTACAGAGAAATCAGCTTGCTTTTATAAAGTACACAGCTTTCATGGTGAGAGTTTCAAAGGAAGCTAAGGTAGCTGTGAACTAAGGCTTCAAGTGAACAAGATATTGTCAAAATCCTTTCAAATTTCTCCTCTCTCTTACCTGCTGTATTCCAGTTGCTCCAAGGAAAAGATATGTTTGTTGAAATACTCCTGAAGCTTCTCATTTGCATAGTTAATATTGAACTGCTCAAAACGGTTTACCTAAAGACACAGGAAATTTTCAAAAATGCACACACTTCAAGCATTTTACTTTGCAAACAAGGGAATGGGTTTGGTAATAACATATTTTTAAATCAAGTTCCAGAGAAGATGACAAAAATATGTAAAGTAATAAAGCATAAATATCAGACAATCCATTTGAATAAGCTTTTGAAACCTACCTCAAAGTTTTCAAATCCGAATATGTCCAATATTCCAATAGTCTTAAAGTCTTCCTTGCTCCTGATTCTGCTATTGATTTTCTTAATGACCCATGCAAAACACTGAGAATAAAGTGCCATAGCCATAGAATCTCTGCTGTCTATTGCCTGTGTTAAAGAGGGAATACAGAACACATCAACCACCCCATGACTGAGAACTGACAATCTCTGCTGCTCAGTGTCCTTAGCACAGCACAAAACAATGCATAAAGCAGGCAGCTTCCTATTCCTATGTAGCTTGGCAGCAATTGTATTAACACACACAAAGCATCATGATTCGAGCTCTAACTGTTTTCAGTTTAACTGAGAACAGCAGTACCCCTATGTGGCTTTAAAATTACATTTCAGGGCTAAAGCGTTCAAAAAAATAGGAAATTATAAACTTCAGGTATGGAGGAAGGAAAGAGAGGTGTAGGAAATAATACCTTAATTCACCCTTTTCCAGAGGGAAACAATGTTATGCATACCTATTTCTAATTCTCTTCTTGTAAATTATAAAAATATTTCTCCTAAAAATTTTGAAAAAACACCTCCTTGACACAAGTGTCCATAGTGAAAAAAGTATCAGCCTACATGTTCAGTATTTGAGAAAAATGGGAACTAATCAGGCTTCATAAGAATAAGAAGAGACAAGCTATAAGCCCTGGCTTATAGAATAATAGGATGGGATCTAAAGAGATTATACCCTTCCCAAAAAAACTATGTCTTTTGACATTTTGTCTTGACTGATGCATGAGCTAAGCTTTTGTTCTTGAGTGATCAATGATTTCTCTGGACTTGAAGACTAAGACATCTTTCAAAGACCCTGAAAACATGTCAAAATTGAGTTGCCTTTACCTGTTGTATACTAAGAGGTGTTAGGATTTCCTCTCCCCTGAGAATCATCGACCTCTGAGTCAATGCTTCTGTTAGCTGTGTGGAGTCCAACCCCAGTAACTCAGCAGATCTACCCAGGGCTGGCAAAAGAGAAAAACAAATACAAATATGTCCTTACATGTATAAAGCTATGAAACCAGTTTGTTTTTATTATTATTATTATTATTACTACACCACCATTTAAGATGCTCCTAAAAGGAGAGGGATTAGAGATGAAAATACGAGAAATTCTAGGATACTGTTTTGCTGCTCATGAAAAGGCATAAATATGTGCAACTGAAGGAAATTAGCAGTAGAAGTACATCATAAATAAGTCACAAATACTTATTTTCCTCTTAATGCTACATGTCAAGAACTCAAACTATCTACTAACACATTTTTCCACATACAAACAGTAATTAACTCTTCGTCCTCATGAATATGTTCCCATTTTGCTTGGGATGGTGAGGATAAACCTATGAAATTTTTCTTCCATGCATACATTAGTTTTCAGTTTTGTTATAATGTGGTATATAAAGCAGTACATAATGCTACTCTGTAACGCCGTATTTAAATAAACATTTTAAATGCCCACTAGCTCAATCTTTAGACACATCAACATATTCTTTCAGATATCTAATTCTAATATTGAAAGCTCTAAAAAAAGATACTTTCAGTGAAGATCTTGGTTAGGGAATGTATTTGAGTACTTATATTTCATCAGCTTGAGAATATTTCAAAGAAGGAATTAGATTCAAATAGAATTTCATTACTGTTAATGGAATAAATATATGCCCAAGGACTTCCCAAATTAAGACCTAGCATCCAGCAGCAGACTACTTTGCCTTATCTGTCAAACCTCACCCTCCCAAAGTAACATTTTAATCAACATTTACAGATGTTAAAAAGCAGTAAAACCCTTTCACTCCTTATCCTTGCTATGTTCAGATATACTAACAACAAATAAGGCTTTCAGAACCCCAAGAAACATTTAGATTTGGATGCACAGCCTTCTCACCTGTTTTAAAGGACACTTGTGCCCCACCAGCAGTGATGAACTCAACATTTCCCAGATGCAAAATGCCAGCCAGCAGCCTCAGAACTTCTCGTACTTCCTCCCTGCTGAACTCCATCACTTCCATTGCAGTCTGGAATGACATGTGAGCTTCTTCAAATAATATGCACAGACTCAAAAATGGGAGTCCTTAGGAAAGCAAGTCAAGACTAAAAGAGAGCTGGCTCAAGTCCATTCCTTTGGTTCCATCCCAAACTGAATACACTCTAAGGCATCACTGGAACATCTTGGAACATGTAAGTATCACTCTGCCTCTAAGAAATTTCATTTTGATGCTGTAATGAAGTTGTAATTTGCTTTCAAATTCATCATTAAAATCATATAAATATTGGAACGACCCACTGAGTTGTGTGCAAGATGCAATTACTATAATTTGAATTATTAATTGATTACCTCCTGCAAGTTTTTACCAAAATTTGCCTATTGGCCTTGTAGATAACAAGGCATGGGGGAGAAAACAGAGCAGCATGTAAGATTTCATTAGTTTTGTGCCCAAACATGCACCTTTATCAATGTGGTCTGACAACTTCCCATCAAACTGAGGAAGAAAGGTATTCATATAAAAAGTGTTGAACTTATGAATAAACAATATGGCAACAATCAAGGCTCAACTACATAAATAAGGAGAAGAGCAAATAGTAAAATATTAAAAGAAACATTAAAACAAGAGGAACACATGCTTTTCTTTGACACAGAAGGGGTAATTGTATGCCTCTTAAAATGACCAAATTTTCCAAATTTGGGTGTAATATGAGCCTGTCTGAGACCAGATCACAGTTTTGTACCCTTACTCAGATTTATCATGTTATAGTCACTGCAGATGTTTGATAAATGACATATTTTATCTTTCATAAATCATCCACTACAAATGGAAAAGCCTCAGACTCATCCCACAATTCAAAGCAGAGTAGAGATAGTGGTTGAAGGTTTACTTTGTAAAGAAAACCTCTCACAACAAAAGGGCAGCACCATTACAAGTTCATCTTCCTGTCTCCTATATAAAAAAAGTTTACCTTAAGTAACATTTCCAAGACTTACACTGCAATAAAAACAGGCAAAAGAGATGACTTTAACAGGAAAAGACAAGTGAGGGTGAGCTGTGGGGGTTTCTGCCCACCTCCTGCTCTGGAAATGCAGCCTGGCAGCCCTGCTCCCAGCCTGCTCACGCTGCAGGCAGCAGGCAAACATCACCTGCCCAGCTGATTTCATGGCCTGCCCAGCCTAGGATGATTAGCACAAATTAAATGTCATGATAATCAACTTCAGCGTGTGACCACAATATAGGTGAGTTACCAACGTTTCCAACACTTCCTTCTGCCATACAAGACGAGGGATTTTTACACTGAAAAAATCTGCTGCATCCACTACACATCAGTTTGTCAATTTGACAAAAAGATTAACATAGCTAAGCAAAAACATTTTGGTGAAGGGCATAAAACCAAATGCTTTATCTGATTTTTAAAATCTAACACATCACCACAGTGCTACAATACTGAATTAGCGTGGTCAGTATGGACTAATTGCTGTGGAGGTGTGACACAAAGCCATTCAGAGAGATTCTATCAGGACCTGGGTTTTTAATCTGTGCTTATGTTTTCATAACTATTGTGTAAGTTACTCCACACAAGTGGATTTCCCAGCTGCAACTGAAAGAGTCGTGGGTGCTTTGCTCCGTGTGCTGCACTGCAGACTCCACCCAGTAGATGCCACATGATTCGGACAAAGCTTTCAGACTGAAAAACAATCATGTATATACATACATATATATATGTAATATGACACAATGCAGGGAAAGGCAAAGGCATGTAGAAGTTTTACTGACTTGCCAACAGATACTGTTGTTTCATTTCAAAACATAAGCATTTCGCTGAATTACAGCACACTTTGAAACAAGAGTAAAAATGAAATGCTGGAGGAAAGAAGCATGCTCAAAATGAAAATGAAGCATTTTGAGAAAATACAAGTCCCTGTAAGATTAATGCCTCAATGAGAGAGCTGCACATGGAGGAAAGCACAGGAAGGCTTTGTACCCTGCCCTGCCAATGGGCCCCACACACCTGAACTTCCAGCACTTTTAAAGCAAAAGAACTAGGGAAGCAACTCACAATGACTTCCTTGAAAGAATCTTTGTCACTGATTGTCTTATCCGCTATACATCCAGACTGGTTCAGGTAGTGGTAGTTCTCAGGTACAGATAAGTAAAAAGCATCTAATGAGAGAAAACAGGGGGAGTGAAAAGAAATACCAAAACAAAAGTACTCCACAAATTACTATGTCAGAGTTACACAGTTCACAATTCATTTGCTCAGAAATTATGACAATGCACAAGACAAGTTTTTATATTAAAATCAGATAGGGGGTTATTTTGCTGGGTTTTGTTTTATTTAGTTGCATAATAGAGTTAACTCTACTTTTTAGCATGCAAAGACAGCAGGCCCACAGGGAGATGCTGAGACAGCTTTAGGCAATTTTGCACATATACAAATGTCATTTCTTTTGTTCAGTGGATTTATTCTTTATGAGAAAGGATTAGAGCAACCAGAATTATTTATCTTTGTTGCTGTGGAGTTATTTAGTACCAGCAAAAATATTCAGTTTTAACACAATGAGGCATGTTTGTCCCCAAGTAATTTTCCCAAGGCCACAGCAGAAGCTGGGAGGAAAACTACCGTCAGCTCAGTGACATTCTTCAGCTAAGTGGGTTCCTTTATCAAGTTGAGCTCAAATTCACACTCACTGAATCCCAGCTGAATAAATAACCTATTTCTCAGCTCGGGTTAGTGGGTTTCTGCAGTTAAATTCTCCACTGCTGTCAGCACTGCTGACTGCTAGCAGAAAACCACTACACTTGTGTGACTTGTGCTTTGCCACTCACCTTTCTCTCTCTCTTCTATCCCTGCCAGCAGAGCATAGAATATATGATAATTTCTTTCCCCGGGGTTTTGTCTTACTACACGATTCTGTCAAAGTAAAAAATAGTTTTCACTTAAGTGATCATTTCAAAGACAAATTTTTTATCCGTAGTTTCAGACAAAAATTAAATCAAACACAATTAAGTAAGCAAGAGCAAACATCAACTTACTTTTTCCAATAAATCTGGAGCCAGCAAGAAAAGCTTCAGTCAAGGAATAAAGTAAAATCGATTAATGCAGAAATTTTTTATAATCTTCCTTATTTCATTTGAGACAATAGGAACACTATCATGGTCTTTTCTTACTACATGCTAAGCCTGTTTCATACAATACACCTCTAACAAGATAAACAAAGTAGCAACAATGACAATATTGTAGCAGTTCTAGTATCAGTGTATCAACACCTTTTCTTCCATCCCATCAAAACTGGACTTGGCAGATTCTGCATCTTAAATAACATCTGTTTTCCTTTGCTTTTTTTCCCCCCTAAAGCTTGGAAACAAACTCAATAATTATATTTTTTGCCACTGAAAAAGCAGTTTATGTTTATAACACCACGTAGAAACCCCTTGGAATATTCCTCATCCCCACACCTTTGGTTCTCTGGTGGAGCTGGCTCATAGCCTGATTTTGCCAAATGCAGGACAAATCCGAGGATTTAACCCACCCACACTGACACTGCAGAAACTGAGCAGCTCTGCTCTTTCAAGTACTTTTCCAGAGAAGTAAGCAGCTTATCTTTGGATACAGTAATGAGGGAAATGGCTGACCTCAAGTTATTCCCGAGGACTCAGGCTGTTTTAGCTCATTACATGGGAAACGCACATGAGCCATGTCACGCTAGGGGTAGCAATACAAAATGCTGCTCCTCCATGAGTACATACATCCCACACCACCACAAAAGCATGTGTGGATTTGGTGTTGCTGCTTCTCCTTCCCACCTACATCAGCTCAGTTTAACTGTGTGTATTTCAGGATGGGGTGAAAGGGTAGACAAAGGCAAGCCAGTTCTCCCTCAGTCCTCCATCAAGGAGGTACATGGTTGCCTCCCAAAAACGGGGTCAAATCACAAAATGAGGATACAATCCATAATTCTTCCTCCCTGAATGTTTCCTTTCTGACAGATGTTCAGCTGAATAAACTTCCCAAAGCGACTTGAGTTGTTGTTGTAAACAGTCTTCGCATTGCCAAAAGCTTCCATAATTGGACTGTGAAGACAGAGAACGACAGGAGTGTTAACGTGTGACCAGCATGCCAACAGCTTCACATGGGGCTGGTGAAAGGAACAGCACTCTGACAAACTCCCCTCTGACACTCTCCTCAGCAGCAGCCTACATCCCAGCATTACCCTCCATTTAGCAATGGCCATCTCAGTTTCCTAGCAAAAGATGCAAGTATGCATGCAACAGGATAAATCATACTGAACTACTCTGCAGCTGCAGAGTAGTAACTCCTACTGCTACTTCTTTTGTAATCGCTCAAAAGATGCACACGATTCTTACTGCAGTACTCAAATGATAGAAACAAGAAATCTCAGCACATGCAAATTGCTAGACAGATGTAAGGAGTCCTTGTCCTAGGGCAATTAAAAAAAAACAAACTACATCAAGATACAGCACGTACAGCAGAGATGAAGCAAGATAAACAAAAGTAATAGCATCTCAGATTGCCTTTGTTTTTAAATAGTTTAGAACCATGTCATTTCACATGAACACCAAGATTTCTATTTTGCCTGTGCTGATTGTGTCCAATTTATCTCATGCATTTACTAATCTGTCTTATCAGTTCTCCTTATTCTCCCTTTCCTCAGCATGTTTTTACCACTTGAGCACTTTATCCTCACCATGCTGTATCTTGTTCTACCGTATCCTCAGGATACACAAACTGAACCAAACTGAACCCTCCCATCACCCATTTCTCTTACTCTGATTATCCCAAAACAAAAATAAAAGCCACCATTAAAGCTTCACCCATTTCAAAACTCTGCGTATTTTTGCTTCACTAAGAGATACCACTGTGCTCATAACTCTCTAGAGCAACCAGGTAATTTTGTTTAATGGAGTATTTCCCTTTCTCCAGCATACATTTTACTGTTCAGCAAACATACACATATTTGAATATATTGCAAGCTCTTATTTCAATGTCAAAAAAAACCATGTATTGAAAGATCCAATACCTGCTCTCAAGAATAGCTCGCTCCACACAGGAGGTCTTCTCTCTGGAGGACAGCTCCAGTGAATGTTGGCTCATGGCAGACAAGAACTTGAGAATCAGCTTAGTGCTCTCCGTCTTACCAGCACCACTTTCGCCACTGAAAGAAGAGGAGGAAATGGTTTGCACAGTCCCAGTGGCCAGTGAAGAAGCCCTCTGGCTGGCCACCCAAACTCCACATTGCAGGAGGTCAGGAAGACTGGGGTGATTAGAAGTGATGGTCAAATGGAGCCAGAACACCCCGTTAAACTTCCTGAATATGACATTCAGGGAAAAAGTCAAGCTGTGCTTAAGCTTCACACCACTGCTCAGACAGCATTTCAAGGCACTGACTGCATATGTACACACACCTAGGTGGAAACAAAGATTTCTCTGAATGCAAACAATTATCCAACATTTCTCATCATCATATTAAAGCCAAAACAAAGGCAGGGCAATGGTCAGGGATAAAGACCAAACTAAGAGTTAAGATGGGAAAGTTTGGGATACATTGCAGCAATCTAGCCAATGAAGAGCCCTGCTGTGAGGAGGAAGAAGTTAGAGACACCAATGCACATTCTATCACATAAAGGCTACTTGTATAATTAATAATTAAATTCTTAACAAACTACATATTCTTTAAATGAACTTTTTATATACCTACTGAAACAAACCAGATCCATGTGAGTTCAAAATATACAACTTCCACCTCTCATTACCATCAGAGATATAAAACCTCTCATCATCACCCACAGGAGAACAAAGCTATTTGATAATGCTAAATTGACATTTTAAAAACAACTGTTAATAAGCAACCCTGCTGATACAAACAGAAGGCAATACACACAGTTTCTCTTCAAAATCAAAACTCTAAAAAGGGAAAGTTTAGATTTGGCTCATTTCCCCAGTACTCTTTCCCTTCAATTATGTATCCTAAACACACACTGTGAGCCATTAAGAAATGTAACTTGCAGGTAAAGTTTGCTCACTCTTCACCTATAGTCATAGCATTGTATCCTAAGTGGTGGACTAGCTCCTAATTAAGCTGTACCTAATTCCAGTCTAGTCTCAAAGAAAGAGGGTACATTTTGGTCTTGCTTCACCTTTTCTACTGTAGCAAGTGGGAATTTCATCACTGACTTTGATGGAACACAACTGGGCATGTGGAGCACGCTTACATAATTTGACAGTCTTTTGCTGTGCCATTGCTGAGTAATCAGCCCACTGATTTTAGGTTACAACAAAGTATAATGATGCTTTCTAGTAAAAAGCAAAGAAGAAAGGTACTGCCCAAAAAAACAGCATGACAGTTTCCTGCAAATGAATGTCAACAATAAAATTAGGGAAGAGACATTCAGGAAGCATAATGAGACATCTTCATAACCACCAATATGCTCCAGCAAATGTGATTCACCCATTATATTTATACCACATCAAACAAATCCTGTAGTGTTTTTTATGTAATACTACCTTTGATGTCTGGCCTTTTCAGCATTCCTTCTCTTTTTCTTTGCAGGTCCTCACTCACTCATCTCTTTTGCCCAAGAAGTAAATACTTAATATTCCTGCATTCCATACTCACCATAAAAAAACATTTATACTAGTAGGTTTGAGAGAGCTTCACAAACTTTTGCATTATTCTTGTCTAGTGCAAAAAACCATCAAGTGATGGTTGATGACCCCTTCATGCTCAATTCTCTCCCTCTGAGCCATACATATAGCTCAACAGCTGGCACAGGGTGACACTGAGGATATCACCTCTTTTCACCCTTCCTCTGCCCCCACCCACTGTCCCTTGGTCTGGAGAATCTGTAGTTCTATGTAAGCTAAAAGTTGTCCCACTATAATTGAGAGCCATTCTACAAGTGAGATATTCAAAGCAATGGAAAAATATCTCCTGCACCTCTCTCTGGTATAGCTGGCATTATGCACCATTGCATGCTCTTGTTTTTTCCTTAGAACAGGAGAGACTCACAACTGGTTGGGTTCTGAATGTGTCCAGTGTCCTATTCTGACAGCTGCCAATTGGAGATGCCCATGGAAGACATACGATTATTTCCCTTCTGTGTTCTTCCAGTTTCCAGTTATTTGCTAGTCAGAGGCTTCCTGATCTAAACCTGTTTTTATGTGTCTTGTAACCCTCAATATATTATCTTCTATGAGTCTCTAGCCATACTCCCTTAAAAAGCAAATGGTCTTGTTTTTTCAAATCCACCTCCTATTAGCTTCATTTGATATCTCTCAGTTCCCATGGTGGAAGGAGAAACCAACAATTCACCCTGGTGCTCTTTCTGCTGTGCATGACTTGATGGTTAGTGCTCCAAATTCAAGGCGCCTGTCTCCACTAGCCATTTCCCACGTTATATACTTTTTATTACTTTTAAAATTTTCCTCTGAACCACCTTCAGTTCCACAAAGTCCAAAGGATGGATTTACACAATGTTCTCTACTCATTTAGTAGTAACCACTCCATTCTATTCACTTTCACAGTTACATGGGATCAATCTTTCAGAGTCCTTAGAAAGCTTTTGCCTACAAGGTCAGTAAAAGGGTGAATTTTTTAGTGCAACCTTTCCAGCGACCTTTCCAGCCCATGAGTTTAAGTGCCCAGCTTGTTCCACATCACTACATTCAGGACTGTGAACATATTAATTCTGACAGCAGGCCAGAAGGCCCCTACTTAGAAGATCTTTAGACTTTCTCCATGACTTGTTCTATGCAGGGCTAAGGGCACAGCAGCCTGGACTCATGACTGCCACAGCGTAAAAAGGGAGACTCCTCATTCTGAAGGATGTAACACAAAATCACTTCCCTGTTCTGTCTGGGCAAGAGACAGAACAGTCTGTAGTGGCTGCTAATCACTGGCACACCAAAGGCACTGCTCCATGAGCACCTCTGGAACTCCTAATGCAGTTCCTGAGGGCCAAATGACCAGAAGCCCCACATGGGGGAAGGACCCAGAAGGCCAAAGGGTACTTGAATTGAGACAGGAGGCCAGCACATGTCTTGACTCTACCTCCTCTTGGAATTTCTATCTAACATCGCTGGAACCAGGAGTAGTAGCTATACATGCTATTTTTTGTATCTTTTCTTTTCTTTCTCTTTCTTCCTCCAATTCCCTCTTCTGGGAGTTTTGTGTAACTTAAAATTGGATGAGCTTAGAGTTTGCAAAGTTAAAGGGCTAAGTTAATGTTTTGAGAACGGTTTTATGTTGATGGAATGCTGCGCTAAACCTTTGCAGGAGTTCTCTGATTTTTAAAGTTGCCAGTGAAGTTTTTTGTTGTTTTGACCCCTTGAAAATATCTTGTCAGTATTTCTCCCACGTGTCTGAGTACATGAACAACTGTAAGTCCTTTTAAGAGTCTCATCAAATAAGGTTTTTGGGGCCTTACAGTCTGCTACCTTTAAAACCCCAAGAGAGATACACACAGACAAAACAGGCCCCTTCTGCAAGTACACTTCATCAAATGCACATCTGAACCGTGGTGCATCAGTCTCACAAGGACATCACAGCCATCACAGGTCTGGGTCCCATATAAAGGGTTTGGTTCATATTGATTTTCAAGCTTGTTGTTGAAAAACAACAACAAAAAGTTTCAGGCCATCAGATAATAACAGAGAGAACAAATCACTTTCAGACAGTGATTTCCCACTCATGAATGTCATGCAGAGCACTGGCTGCAGCTCCTTTTACACTTCTTTGGGAGTGCTCTGACGTGGATCAATTGCACTTTTATCTGACAGAAGAGCACATATTTGCTTGTGCATAGACCAGATCACCTTAAACAGAGCAGCAAAAAAAATCCAAACTAAACCTATTTTCCTATTGTTGTAATAAAGGCTATAGGTGGAGGTTTGAACTTGGTCTGAACTTGTGAACTTCAGCTAATCACGGTCAGTCCCTTTCCTACACCAGGACAGGCTGTTTGGCCATTGCTCAAATTAGAAGGACTTCCTTCATATTCCTGAGGCATCCAGCTGAAAAATCAGAAGATGATTTTAGTACAGTGGGCTTTTTTCCCCCATTTTAAATGAAAATGGACCCTGCATTAATGGTTCAGACCAACACGAAACTGAGAATTCACTGATGCAGATGTTTTTGTCTACAGAAAAACTCTAGTTTTTTTAGCCTGGGAGACTTAAAACACCATTTCACAACTATGTATATATTCTAATACACCAGCCGTGTACAGCTTCTTCAGTGTGCCGTTTTGTTGACATTTTAGGCTGCTAAGTCCTTTTTATGCAGCATTATCATGACTTAATGCCTGTTACACACACCAATAAATAAGCATCTTTGGGTGATTTGATTTATCATCTCTTCTGTATTTCCTTCCTTTTCACCTCTGACCTAGACAGTTATACTGGTAAAAATGGTCTCACATTTAAATTGCATTCAGTTTTTCTAATTTGTGTTCTGCAATTCACCCTCTCACCTTACCCCAGCCAGAAAAATATCGCAACATTAATATTTCAAAACACTAGAAGCTTTTTCACAGGTTTTTGAACCCAAGGCCTGAAGAAAGCAGCTCCCAACCAAAGCTGAGCTGATTCTGGGGACCAGCAGGGGGCACTTCAAGTCCAGAGGATCATCAGAAAGCGTTCCCGGCTCCTGCCTTTGTGGGGCTGTTACAATTCGGTACCGCGTGCTGAGATCCCAAGGTCAGGAGCAGCTCAAACTGCCTATCACAACGTGACACCTCCCCGATTAATTCCCTCATTTTAACTACTGTGTTTTCGAGACGCAACAGAATTTTCCTCTTTATCATCTCCTACATTAAATGCAAGACCAGAATATTTGTCTAAATTCAAACACTAAAGAGCTTCACATGGCTACTTTATTTTTCAAATGTCAGTAGTAACCAAGAAAGTTACAGTGACAGTACAGTGACTTGTTGCAACGTCTAATTCTAAGCCAGGAGAAGATGCAGGAATGACCAGGATGATGAATTTGCCAAGCACACTGTTATACCTCCACTTCCTATGCCTTAAATTAGGTATGTGACAACAGCGACTACTAAACTGTAGGGAGGCCATGGAAACCTTCAGTAATTTTAAATAATCCTATTCTGAGTCCTTCACAGATAGAGCAGATAATGCTGTTTTAGGAAAGCATATTCAGCATTCAATTTTTTTAATTTGAATTGCACGTTTCCTCAATTTCTGCAGTAACAACAGTAACAAGATACCCTTATATGGTTGTATTGTGCCACTTGTCTGAAACACAGAACTTACACAAATCACTGTTTCAATCCATGACCAGAGTAAACAATTTTAAAATGGATTTCTAATACAGAACTTCTCCATATTATGGCTTATCTGCACCAATACACATGGTTTACAGAGCAGAGAGTGCTGAAGACTCCCCTTGAACTTCACAGACTTCTGCTTATGTCCATTTTAGGGCATAACCTGCTTTCCTCTTGGCAGTTTGTGAGGAACTGGAATGAAAGAAAGGTAAAATACTGAGGATAGTACAGAATGGCAAAAATACCTATAGCCACCAGAAATTATTTTGGTCCCTAAATTTTTATACACAGGCTGTTCACAAGTAACTGCCTGGCAATAAAACAAAAAATCATGACTCCAGGCTAGCTATTGTCACATGACAAAGATCTCTCTGAATTTCATTTTTGCTTGGACTCTTACCTGAACTCACCTTTATATATACAGAACTAGGTATTAAGTACTAAGAAGGAGAAATACAGTTAAGAAAAGCTGAAAAAACACGCTCTTCAGCTTTGTGTCACTGCAAAGCAGAACCTGCCGAGAGGTGAGTGAAGGTGGGCACTGTGACCTGAGAGCCTGCAGAAAGTTGCAAGCAGGTCTGGCTGTGCTGCAGCTAATCCAAATTTCTAACAACAGCTTGGGTGCTGAACTACATACACCAAATCCCCCTCTTATCCACGAAGCCTTGCAACCTGGCCCATAATCTGAAATGTCAGTAGAAACAGCCTATTGCAAAAGCTGCTGCTCTCACTCTGCCTCATCCCCTCTCTGTCCCAGCATCTGCCCCATGCTGTAGTCAGTCCTACAGCCACCACAAGGGAGGTCAGGAGACAGCCAAAATCATGTCAACTTGTTCCGGAAGAGCTCCACATGTGTAACTTCATGGTGCAGGAAGGTGACAGCAAGTAGGCCTAATCACAAAAACGTTGTGAAGGCAAGAGAGGAGAGGGAGGGGAAACACAAGGTCTCTTACCCCCCTGAGCATCTCCCCCTGCCCGGAGCCATGCTGCAGTGACCTGCTCCTCCTATCTGGTGGGCCACACTGTGGTCTCCCTGCCTGTGTGTGAGCCAACACAGCTGAGCTGGCAGGCTAGGGAATGGGAAAAGAGCTGGCTGCTTTCTCAGCTCTTCTGGAGCCAGAAGGAAGGAGGAGCTGAAAGCAGTGAAAAGCTATTGAAATGCCAACTGCTCCCTAATGCACACTCGGCCACAGCCAGATCCTGAATACCAGTGACACAGTGGTTCAAACGGGAAGCTATTAAATCACCATTAAATTAAAAGACAACAAGATTAAGCAAGGAAGATTAATCAGACAGAATTAAGTGGCTGAAATGTGGAGGGGTTTCCCTTTTGCTCTTCTTATTTACAGTATATCTCAAGAATTGGTAGGTTAATTTTTTCTTTTCCTCTCCATACAGGAACGAGGGTCTAGTGGTGACAAACTATTGAGCTGCACAGAGATGTTTAAACTGGTGGGAAAACACTTAGGATAACATTTGATGTGTGAAGACCCAAAAATGCACAAAAATACAATAGTTTTTTTTCTACTAAATATTACTGTAAGATGCATAAAAAAGATTAACGTTTTGTTAAAGGTGCACAGAATGACACAAAACAAGTTCAGAACTCTCTTTAGATTGTGCAGTTTTAAAACCCTGCTTTCTTTTGGAGCTGTCCCCACGTGGCCCACAGCTCCCAAATCACCTCCAAAGGCTCGCCATCAGGGCCACGCAGAGCAGCAGCCGCAGCAGCCACCAGCACTCACCTGATGAGGATGCACTGGCTGTCGTGGCGCTTCCAGAGGCAGCGGTAGCACTCGTTGGCCACGGCGAAGATGTGCGGGGCCATCTCTCCCAGGTGGTGCTTGCTGTATCGCTCCATGGCCGCGCCATCGTACAGCCCCGGGATGCTCTTGTAGGGGTTCACAGAGGCGACTATCGATCCGATGTAGGTCTGCAAGCACACAGCACCCCCAGAGCTGTTATCACACGCACCTGGGGTGCAACAGGCTAACACTCTGCTCAAATGATAGACAAAAAATACACATTTGCAAAACCGCAGCAATCCTTTGGATAAAGGTGGCCAGCAATTTCCCCTGATTTCTTCCTGAAAACAACAAAAGGGCGAAAATTGCTCCCACTTCTGTCATGTTCTCCCCACCTATAACACTGAGCTTATTGACAGTACAAATCCCTGCATTAATGCTGCTTACAGCTGCACGATAATGCCCATCAGCGCTGGCCTACAGCTGCTTCTCATGTGTCCTTAGGGACTTGCTGAACTTACTAAACACCTGACTAAACCCAAAGTAATGGTGGAAAAGTCTGTATTTCCATGTAGAGTATTCAAGTCCTTCTCTGCTACTCACTTTTAAAACAGAAGTATCAGGCATTATGGCAGACACTAGGACCATTATATTAGAATAGCAGGCTCTAAGAAAAGTGCGTAAAGCGACAGATGCTCCAAAAATCACTGGGTTTCCACAATATTTTTAATATTAGTTGGATGCAGAACAGCAGCTGGCAAGTCATTAATTTCTATCGCACTGCAATTAGACAGCACATCAGTTAAAACCACCCAGGTAGTAGCTTATACCCATTCCCATTGCCTTAACTCATTAGGCTGTGGTAACCTGATCATTTGCAACAGTCTGTTCACAATGTTATTCAATTTCTCCCTCACCCTCTATCCACTTCAATATATTTCTCTAATAAAATCACATTAAGTGAGGTAGCAGATAATATTAAGCATGCTATCTCCAGAGTTTCTGGGGCATGTGAAATTAATTGATACACTGTATGGAATGTGCAGTGTTACTGCTGCCATACCAATTTCATTCTGCTAAACGCCCTTGCTGTGGTCACAGGCAGGAAGCTGACACCTGGCTTCGACAGCCCTGCTATGGACTGGTGAGCAGCCAGGCTGGGCAGCCTCCAGCCCTGTACCACAGCCCCCAGTGAACCACAGTCAACCCTCTCGTTGCTGACAGGAACCAGCTGTGAAGCTGACAGCAGGACTGGGGCTCTCTTCATCTCCACAGCACCCTAACCAGAGACAGAAAAGGGGAGCAGCATCTTGCAAACCACCCAAAGGCAGCCCCATGTGCTCCTCCTGCAGTTTCCTTCTCTAAGCCACCACAGGGCATTCACTAAGACAAACGAACCATCAGTTCCCCCATACTTTTCCTTTCCCCTCTATCAGTCTCTTTTGCAGCATTTACAGCCTGCATCTACCTGCCTCCCTCTTTTTCTCCTTAATTAACATGCAATTACCGCTGTGTATCAGCTCTCCTTTCTCACTGTTACCCTGCTGTTACAGTCCCCATTATCCACCTGTTCACCCTCCATCAGGCCTGACACAAATTGCAGCTTTGAGCTTTTGCTAAGGGAACTGCACTGGTGTCCTTGAAATCATGACAATTTTATTAGCAGTAAGGGGAATATCCCACCTCACTGTAACTCTAGTACCTTTTACAGAGTGGTGAATTTCCAATCTGTGTGTTTTATAACACCATCCCCCCACCCTCCCATGCTGTGCAACAGCTCAGAAGATTTCATCTAGAGGAGAGATAGCATTTCAACATGAGATCATATCACAGGGCAATTACAGCACTGAGACAATAGCTTAATTTCCTGGGATCATCCCCTCTTGGATTCTTAAATAAGTAATAAGTAACAAGGAAGGCTCTGAAAACAGACTTCCTCTGTTTCATACGTATTTCAGCACAGATTGCACAGGGAAAAATTTTAAGAGGCTTCTTTTTTAATTACAAGACTGCAGTGCAAGTATGACCAATAAAAGAGACTGCTACAGATCTTCCTCTTTCCCTTATTAAAGTTGGGATGAAGTCTTTGGAAAAGAGTAACTTGAGGCATGCCATCACAACAGATGCCATGGCAAAGATGTAAATAAAAAATCCCCATGAAACATGATACCATCTAGCTTCATAAGTAAATAATCACTCTATAGCTTCTGCAAGATTAAGTACCTCACAGAACAATATCTCCACTTAAAAGCATTGGCAAAACTGCATCACCACAGGCTACACATTGTGACTTTCCTTGCTTCTCTTCTAAACAGTAAATATCAGAAGAGGTGACAGCAGTCCAATTCTGCATACACTCGTTTAAAATGGGGCAGTCTTTCACATGACTTCAGCACAATTTTTTTTAAAGCAACAGAAAGACTTCCAGAATATTAGTCATTATTGTGAATTATAAATATTTATTAAATAAAGTGAGCTGGCTTCATTGCCTTGTAATTCAATAAGGTACAATAGAGAAATGGGTGGTGTATTATGGCAATAAAGCAAACCTGGTGAACAGCAGAAATCATACTGGTGAAAACAATTTCTAAATCACCTCATGTAGTAATGCTTACATGTCACTATTTTAAAAATTCTTTGTCTCGATCTTTTTCTTTCAGCAAAAACGTGAAGTACCACAACCTCTACTGACAAAGGTGCAGCTTTGTGGTTCCAGTCTTCTGGTGCTTTAAGTATGTACTACCTCTTTGCAGGACAAGTTAAATGCATGGACAAACTGCTAACAAATTATAACGTGACAGAACAAACTCAAGACTTCAAAAAACAACTTCCTCATCCCAAGGCAAGATCAGAAAAAAAGTATATTCTTCACAGAGTGTATCACATTTATCACCTACCAGGTGTCACCGTCCAACCCAGGGGTAGCCAGAACCAGCTTAGTCTGCATGAACTAAGGAGTTAGCTGGCCCAAGCAAAAGTTCTGCCTTTACCCGAGGTAGTTTAGCAAAGTATCAATGGGTTGAAGCAGCACTGTTATTAAAAACTATTCCAATTATTTTAAAAGTTCACGTTAGAAGACAAATCTTCCAGAAGTCTTTTTAAATTGCCTCTGGGATACTCCAGCAAGGTCTGCTGCTACAAGAATAATTTCTTACATCACTTCCAGGCTTACTACTCATCCCATCCAGTACCTATCACAGGGTCATACTAGTAGCAGTATCTTACAAGCAGTAGATCCTAGACTCTACCCTGGCAACTCTAAGAGCCACAAAGTTAGGGACTTGGAGGAGGAGGGAAGGATACAGGTACTCCCATGAAAAATGCTACCACCTCCCAATTTCATAGTATCACAGGATGGCCTGGGTTGGAGGGAAAGCAAAGATCATGTAGTTTCAATCCCCCTGTCACGGGCAGGGACGCCTTTCACTAGAACAGATTGCTCAATGCCCCAACCAATGTGGCCTTTAACACTTCCAGAGATTTGGTATCCACAACTTCTCTAGGCAAACAGTTCCAGTGTCCCCACTCTCACAGTGAAGAATTTCTTCCTAATATCTAACCTAACTAACTCTCTCTCACTTTGAAGCCATTCCTTCTTGTCAGTACATGCCCCTGTAAAAAGTCCCTCAGTCTTTCCTGTAGGTTCCTCCACTTGCCTGGAGAGTCAGCCACACAACACACTCCCTTTCTTGCAGGGCAGACCTTTTGGTTTGGCAAATGCAAGCATCTTAGCAGCAGGTTAAATTGGTGTAAAAATATACAAAAAATGCAGGACTGCTCAGTGGATGTGTGTTGTCTCCTGAACACAATTTCTGCACTAGACATCAGCATATGGCAAATTAAATGAGTTAGCAGTCAGAAGCAGGATCTCTAAATAACTATATTATGCCAACATCACAAAGCAGGTGAAGTTTCAGAAAAGGTATTTTCACATAAGAATGACACTTCCACTTTGATTGTAAGACAGTAATCTTAAATTTTCTTTTTGTTCTTCGTAGTTTCTAATCTGATTCTGGAAGTCAATAATTACTTATTTTAATGAAAGTATTCCAAAGCAATTATGAATAGGAGGAATGCTGCCAGAGCATTTGCAAGAAGACAGGGGAGCTCTGAAGATTTCCAGTTGAAATAGTTGGAGAGTTTTTGCAGTGATATACTGTGAGAACTGTTAGAAGCCTGACCCCTTAAATCCATAGCAATGAACAGGGCAGTTTACTATTCCCTGTTACATGACTGACTCGACTCTTCAGACAGAACCATACACAAACTCTTGAACTACTTTGGTACAGACTAAACCAGGAATAACTTGTTATCAGAACACAGCTAATATATTTATTTAAACCAAAGAATAAATGAAAGTTGAGTTACTCAGCCTGAATCCCAATGCAGCACTTTGATTGCTGTATTAAAGGTTGGGTTCCTTTTGCACTTTCAAACTTTTACTGGAATTTTACATTGTTAATTCATCTCTTGAAATGCTTTTGCTCACAAACCACAGACACTCCTGCTCCCACTTTCAGGAAAAAGGAAAACAAGACTGTAAGCTGATCCTCTACAAGGACTTTCAAAATTAGAAGTTCCAATCCTATCTTCTCAACTAGACACTGAGTAAGGCAAGACAAAATTAAAGATGTACTTCAAAAAGGAAGAGATTTTTCATTGGTTCTTTGAATGCATTTTGCTTTGTTGTTGCCTTCTGATAGCAATTAGCTTTGAGCCTCTGTCTTGAAATCATCCCACAGTCCTTCAAACAGTGAAAAACAATTTGTTCTTTAACAAGAGCTCACAAAGACTGCTGATACCCACAGAAATACTCTAGCAAAACTTAACATAGTCAGAGTAGCCCTGTCTAACATGAGAGGGTGTTGTTTGTTTTTATCAATAAAGACACAATCAATTTATTTTAGTTTGATGCCAAACAAATCCAAATGACATACAAGGTTTTATTGATCCAAATTCATTTTAGTGTATTTTACACTTAGAATTACAAGAAAAAAGGTTTGCAATGTATGAATAAAATACAGTTTTAAATGTCTTACTTTCCCACGTAGAAAAGGCTTTCAGACTAAAAGAGAAAAAAATAGAGTAAGAAGTTTCCCCCTCAATTTTTTTTTTCAGAATCTCTATAGTGAAAAAGCAATGAAAAAGAAAACTGCCCTAATGGAAGGCCACTTCATTAGTCCTATAA